ACATAATGCACATAGTCTCAATACAGAAGCGATTGAACTGTTAGAAGAGTTCCCGCGTCAGACATTATAGATGCTAGAGGATTGAAAATTCTTATGCACAAACTTTGTCAAGAGAATAGGTTAGAGATATAATTCTGCTTTGATTGCTTAAATATAAAGAAAATTATGATGAATGATAATCGATAGCATCTATATCGCCTTTGAACTTCATAATTCTGGAAAATATGAGCGTTCTCTAGATCATTTAATAGTTTAATATGTAATGTTGAATCTAAGCTATCCATACAACTAATAACATTGAAGTTTATCAACTTTCTTTAGCAGTACTGTGGCCATTTTATTGTGACTATTGATGTGGAGAAAAACTGTTTGATATCCTTTTGAGATAATGAAACTCAGACTCTTAGAAAAGCTACCCCTCCAGTAAGACATTAGTGCCTACAAATTTTATAAACAAACTGAGTATTGATGAGAAATAGCATAGTTATGATCATTGTGTTGATGAGGCAGAGATTGCAGAAACATCAAGAGATGCCAATATTCAAGTAAATGAACTCGTCTTTTGAGTAAAGAACAATCATAGACTGAACTCCAGTTTCGCTTAAAAACATTAAGAATTAATCATGTATTTCGTAAAAATTAGTGCAAAATTGAGTAGGCAATCCTTTTCAGGTTAAAAACTTTAATACAAAAATAAGTATCATCCGTCAAAATTATCTTTGTACTTAAGCAAACGAAGGAGAATTGTGCCTGTAACTTACACTTTTGAACAAGTATGTGCACAAAAATTTTTCAGTCCACCATCATTTATAATGGCTGAGATTTTCTAGAACAGAGATTTTTGTCCGTTAATGTAGTTAGAAAACTTTGATTGAAAATAATATGTATACATACTGCTGATTTTGGTTTATTTCTCATTGTTGGATCATTAACAGCAAAACTTGGTCGAGGACAAGGTTGATTATCATTATTACTTTCTTCAATACTAATTAAATATCGATCAGTTTCAAATTCTCTTCCAGGTTTAAGCTGATATTCAGAAAGAAAGATTTGATCGATATACTATATTTTTCACTTACATCATCAATACTTGAATAAAAAACAACATCAATTTCATGTTTACCAGCAGATATTAAACGTGCCTAGAAAATTTTCATTTACCATAAAAATTAATTCGAAAAAAAATATTTATTTATTTATACCGAATTTAATGTTGCACGTGGAACTAAATATCCATCTAACCATAGTTTAACTTTCTTTGTTTTTTGCTCTGTATAAAGAACCTTTTTTTTAAACATCTTATAATCAGACCTATTATACATAAAATATCACTTACAGGTATTTGATTAGACATAATTCATATAAATCTAAAGTTATATAATATATATATATATTACTCTGATTTCTTTTTGTATAAAAAAAATCGTTATATATTAAAACAAAATATTGTTTTTACAAATTAAACAAATTGAATAACAAAAAATACAAACAAACGTAAGAATTCTATTGCACATAAACGAAAAAGTTTGTTTTTTTTTTCGTCAGAATTATTTTATGATAAATCAAATTCAATCCAAATCGGACAATGATCACTAACTAAACCACCCCATGTCCAACCAGCAGGAATCCACATACTTGTTAGATTATCTCGGATAACACCTGAATTTTCTAAACAATGAAGAAAAAATTAGATTAATTTTATTATGAATATGAAATTTTACCTGTAGTTAAAGCTTTTGCTTCAGTAGAAAGCCAAATATTATCAACGCATGTAGAACCTTGTGGTGTTTTCATACTAATATTTGTATTTTGTTTAATAACATATGAATAATTACGTTGAACTAATGCATTAAATTCTGATGCTGTTGGTAGAATATTAAAATCACCAAAGATAACTATATGTTTTTGTTCTTTATCAGACAAGAAAAAAAATTGGTTATTATTTTATTTTTAAAATAATATTCATATCTTACCAACAGTATCATTCATAGCTTCAGCTAATATTGATATTGATAAAGCTTCATCTTTTGTTCTTTCATTTTCATTTTCATCAAATCTTCGTGCTTTTAAATGTAAATTAACAAAAACAAATTCATATTTATCATAAATACGAAATATAACAATATAAGGTGAACGTGTAAAATAATTTTTAAATGGTAATAATGATGCTTTTTTTAATTCAATTCCAATTGATTCATCATAAATAAAACCAAGATATTCACTTCCCTTTTATAAATAAAAAAAAACCACAGCTATTTCTACTAAATTTGAGAGCGCAAATAGATAATATGTAATACAATATAATCATAAACGTCTAGAAAATGCATATCCCTCGCACTGTGAGCATCCAGGCGAACATTAGGTGAATTATTGAAAGTGTACTTTTTAATAACTTAAATAGAGCAATATATACTCTGACCTGTGCGTTACTGAATGATATAAAATCCTTTATTCCTTTTCTTAGCATTAGTTGAAAAACACCGCTAGTAAAGATTAGAAATTCTTGTTACTGTGAATAAGAAATAATAAGGAGAAAATATTTCTGAAAAATTGATACACAATCTGAAACTGCGTCTTTCACTCTATCGATTCGTAAAGAAAGAAACTTTCGCTTTTATCTGTTTGAGTTCGAAAAAAGTCGTTTTTCTTTTATATCAAGTGCTTTTATAGAAACATGTGTTTAGTATAATGAACTTGCACAATTTTCTACCATTTCAAGTTAGACATTTCAAGAAAACTCTCAATTTTCAAGGCAAAATTCGTTTTTCTCAACATAGAAACACTTTTATTTACGACTAACTCCATATTTGGAATCATGATCGAAAAAGGTTATATTGAGCACAAAATAAAGTCTTTTTATGTCAAAAAAAAAACACATGTCTACTATGCCGCGACCTCCATACTACATATAACACTCATCGAAGCAAAGTGAATTTCGTAACATGTCTTTTTTTTTTGTTAGTTGAGTGTAGAAAGAGTGAAAAAGACAGAGATGTTAGTCTCATTATTTTTCACCTCATTGATACTACCATTTTCACCATAGATCCGTTGAAGGTCGCTATAGAATTTGATTTTGTTATTTTAACTTTTTGTTTATTTCGGTTTTTTCTTTGTCAGATAATTCTTACTTGAAACATTCGACCAGAAACATCACTAGTTATACATGTCCATTTGCCATGATGATGATTTGGCCAATCCTTAATTAAAGGTATTGTTGGATGATTTAGTTCTTCAATTATATAATCAAGTGCTTCTTTATTTCCTATTTCTTGAATACCAATCAATGAAAAACTAAATAAAGAAAGAACGAACTTAATTTCATCAAAAAAAAAAAAAAAAAAATTATCATTCATCTTACTTATATTCAAGAATAGTTCGACAAATAACTTCTCTTACACCTGGATTTTGTACTTTATCATTTGTTAATTGTTGTAAATTCCATGAAGCAAAACGAATATATGTTTGTTTATTTTGACATGTTACTAATGGATGTTGTGATGATGTTGATGAAAGAAGTATTGTTTGTAATTCTGGTGGTAAAGTTTCTAATAATAATGATGCTAGAGAAAGTGAATCTGATGTTATATTATTATTATTATTATTATTATTATTATTGTTTTTATTTAATGTTGGATATAGATTATTAACAGATGGATCAAGTATTAATGATTGACTAACTGATATTGGTATTTGTCGATCATCAACAGTAATATATGAACGTATACTAGCTAATACAATATAATCAATACCTTTTATACTAAGTAAATCTTCAACAAAACGAAATGATCCTTTTCGTTCACGACGTTCAATTATTCGTTTTATAAGTATTGGTGTTAAATCAGGTATTGTACATAATTGATTATATGTTGCTGAATTAATATTAATACATTCTTGTTTATTATTAACTAAATTTTGAGAAAATGAATCAATAGATATATCAAAACGAATACGTTCATATAAATCATGATCTATTCCCGTAATATATAAAAGTTCATCAATTTGTTTAAAACCATTATTTAATTGACGATATTGAATTATACTTTGAGCTATTTGACGATTAATACCAGGTAACATTAAGAATTCATCTTCAGATGCATGATTTAAATTAATTGAATTATTTTTATTATTATTATTTGATCGTATTTGATCATGTTTTATTTTTGTTAATAAATTACGACGACGACGACGTAATGAATGTATTGTATCAATTGGAGATGGAAGACAACTATTTAAACCACCCATACTAAATGTTATTCAGTTAATTTTTTCGACGTATAAATAATTCATATATATACATATATATCTAAAGAATGATGAAAAATAAAGTAAATGTGTATATAATTTATTCTATGAAATGAATCAATATATAAAAGAGAATATATCAATGAATCATAGTATATCTATACGATGAATGTATATGAAACCTTTCATTCTTTTTCTTTTTGTTTCTATTATTTTATAATCCCAAGAAGAATGTCTTGTAATTTCGAAGAAAGATAAATATGGTTAATAGAAAGAGAACGGATAAAAATTCTATTGATAATATGCACCATAGTCTGTTGTCAAAAAAAGAACAAGCCATAAAAGTATTCATTCAATGTTTATATACAAAATTAAAAATGACAAATATGTGATAATTATAGGGAAACAATGTTTGCTGAGCCATGTAAACGAGAGTCTGCCGAGTTCAATATCTACATTTTTCTCTCTTACCAATATTTCTTATGTAATTCAAGTCTCTGATCACAAATATATAATTATTGTAGCAGTCGGAGTTGTATTTATCGTTATTTTTTTCTTTTATAAAGATCAATCAATGACATATGTCTAAGCATATAAAAAAATAAGAAAAAAAAAAGAAGTAAATACATACATGTACACATACAGAAATTCTACTGATAATTGACATTAAAAAAACAGAAATTCGATAAAAGCTAATAAAAAAAAAAAAAAGATTTTTTTTCCTACAAAAATAATTATCACAGTTAAATATGATTGTTTAAAATGAGACATAATTTTTTTTCTTATATTCTCATTAAAAATCATATTCAATCACACAAAACTATTCCAATGCTGTACAGGAAAGTTATTTGGCACGTATAATCTTGATTTTTGTAATGATAGTTGATCAAGTTGTTTTTTAACATGACAATATTCATAACAATGATATCGAAGACAAATAATCAATATAAAGACTGCTACTAATATAACACATACAGATCCATTAACATTTGATGAACAACTGTACAAAGGCATACAAATTCTCGAAGATTCATGCGATAATGATGAATCATAAATATCATTTGATGTTTCAATATTAAACAATATGTTCTTTTTTTCATTTCGTGTTTGATTCTGCAATTGATTGTTATTTTTCATATTTATAGACTCTATAGTCTTTATTTCTATGAATAATAAATTAATTTTTATTTTCATATTTATTAATCTATTATAAGAATAATGACTCACGTAATAAAAGAAATAAATAACCAATTAAAATATTCATATCATTGAGTTAAATTTTAACACACTTCATAAAATACAAGTACTGCAATAAAAATTTCTTTTTTTGTGTGTGTGTGTGTGTCATTCTTTTTATCAGGCGTCACATAAGTAGAAAGCAATAGATTGTTGTCACAGTTAAATATATGCAGAAAAAAGAAAAAGAGCAAAAGGTTCTTGTAATGTCTCTATTGACATCCATTCTAAAGAACACTTTAAACATACAATATTGAGAGAGAATAATAGAAACATCGAAAAAGAAGAACGAAATATCAATAAACTTAAGTATTACTGTGAGAAAAAAATGCTCTTGTCAAACAAGCTCATACCACAGAAAAAAAAAAAATTTTCTAATTGGATGCAAATAAAAACCGAACTGTCGAATTCGTACTATTATAAAGATGATTACAATCAAATCTATCTATCAGAAGTTTTATCTATTGTTTTCAAAATTTGATTTTATCAAGAATAAGCTATACATGATGTTGGTTTTACTTAAATTTATAGAAAACAATTCCAAAATTTAATGTGTCATATGAGAACAGTCGATAATTAAAAGTTAACATCTAACACTGGTTTTTACTTCATAAATGACGACTGTAAAACTGAACTAATATATTCCATTGAAACTGTCTTATGATTGGTAATTTACAATTCAACTTATAGTCGATATCATAATGAAAAAAAAAACAGCACATTTCTTTTGTTTTATTATCAATCTGCTAAACACTCTTCATATTGCTAAAAGCTTCGATTAAATTGCTTGTATAACACTCGAGATATACATACTTCTTCACTACTATTTATATATATGTAGAGAATAGCAAATAAATTGTATGCTTAAGGTGAAAAGAATATGGATAGAAAGCCTTTTCAATTTGACAAAATATTTAGTTTTTATATTACTGTACAATCTAAACGATTCTATCCTAATTGATTTCGAAAAATATTATTCATAATAATATAATCATTTTTATAAAAACTATTATCTGAAACTCAAAAGTTCAATACCGTATACAATCTGGACAAGTTTGAACATACCTTTAATAATATTTAAATTTGATTGATAATTGACATATTATTTTGTTTTTGAGAACAGAAACCAAACAAATGCTTGTTATACACTGGATATTTTCTATTACAAATCGATTATTTTATCGACAGATACCACTAGAAATTCTAACATAAACAAATACATCGACATCTACCAAAATACATCATAGGTTATAGAAGTGAACGAATCAGTTTTTGAAAAATAAAATAAACGAAATAATTTTTTATTCGTAATATAACTATAATTAAATAACAATATTCATGATAAATCAAATTTTTTAATGAAAAGGTAAATATTTATTTTAATTTTTAAATAATGATTTAAAATGTTATATGATACCTAAAAAATCTTTTCCTTCAACATGTTTTATATGATTGTTTTTTGACCTTTATATTTATATATTAACAAATATAAATCATGGACTTTTTTTTTTTCTTTCTGCCTTTTTCTCAAGATAACAAATCTTATTTTGATATATATATATACCTATGCCTTTTCTTTTTTTTCTTTATATTAAAGGTGTTTATCTGTATTTATTATATTATTCACTGAAATCAGTTATTCATTTTTAACGTGTAAAATGTCATCAAACAATTTAGAAACATCATCATCAACATATTTACGATTAAAAAATGAACGCGGTCATTGGAATAATCAAGAACGTAATCCTGCTATTGATAATTTTGATGGTGAACGTCATAAAGCTATGATTGAATTACAAAAACATCTAGGACAACCTAATGCATCTGCTGATGAAATTCAACGTTTAATGGGTACACCAACGAAAATTCTTGATAAACCGGATTTAGTTCTTGAACATGAATTTCGACGTACGAATGATAATTATACATATCCAAATGATGCAAAAATTTGGATATATGAATGGCGTGGTTTTCATGATTATGTATATTTTGTTGTATCAAAAGATAATAAAGTTATTCAATCAGATTGGTATTATGCATATGAATAAAGAAAAAAAAAAAAGACTTTCTATATGTTCGATTATGCTTATTTTTTTTTTTTCATCAATATATTTTATTTTGTTATTACGATTGATTTTTTATCATACGAATAAATGAATAAATAACAGCAAGAAAAATAAAAAGAAAAAGTAATACAAAAAATACATAAAAATTTCTTAGATTTGTTTTTGACTTCGACGATTCAGTTATTTCTTGTTGTTGAAAACTTAATCGTCGACCAGTATTAAATGAAGGACGTCGAGAATTATCAGAAGTATCATTAGTTGATGGAGATTTTGGAATATTTAACGTATGTCGTCTAAAATTATATAACAAGAGAAAATAATTTTTTTTTTTTTTCAAAAAATATAGAAAAATAATTGAATCAGCACTTTTTTCGTTTGGATGAATAACGACGACGTTCCACTTTAGATGATGCATGCATTTAGACATCAATTTATCTCGGCAATATTATTTAATTATATTTTTCTATTCGTGACTTATCGTTAATTGATGATTAGATTTTTTTGTATTTGTGCCACTCGAAGAATGAATATATACGAATATATATATACAAAAGCAACCAAAAAAAAAAGAGAAACAAGGAAAGAAAGGATGTGTCAGAAAAACAGGAAATTGGACACATGAAGACGATCAATATTGGTGGTACTTGACATAGCGAATCTATTCATCAAATAAATGAAGAAATGTCTAAGAGCTCTAACTATCTGTTGTCCCTCTATTCATGTTTATTTACACGAGCCTTTATCACACACGTTATACCGATCATAACAGAACATCCATACTATTCATCAAATTAACGGGACTTGCTAATATTTTTCTCGCTATATGCCAGTCATATTAGAGTCAATATATTTATATATAAGCGGAAAGTTCTGGCGCATAAAATACTTAATATATACTAGTTTATCACCATCATCGTACAATCTATGTTTTGTTCGAATCTGTCTTTAGGAAAGAAGTACGCTGTCTGGATTGTCAATGATCAGTGATAAGAGTAAGATTAATAAAAAGAAAAAAAAATACATATCCAGATAAAATACCTACTTATTTAAAATATTTGTTCTTGTCGATGAATCCATCAATTTTATTATATATCTTGATAGTTATACTATCGAATATATATTCTTTTGAAGTCTAAAAGAACGCTGTTCGTTCTAAACTTTCTGCAAAAAACAACAAAAAGAAAAAGAAATACGATACAAACGGTAATGATTAATTTTATTTGTTAATGATGTATCGATAAAAAAAATCTGTCACATATTTATTTTGAAACTCTTTTGGCTTCTTTTTTTTCTTTTTTTACTTTAACTATCAAAAAAACTGTTATGTTATTTTTTCTCTTTATTTGCTATTAGAAAATGAGTTTCTTTCAAGCTTCTGTCTTCAATATAATCGTACAGACACATATGGTGATTGAGGGGCAAATGTTATTCAAGATAAAGTAAAAAACAAAGAAAAAAAAAACCAAAAAGAAAAAACGTGATGACGTGACAATACAAGGACGTACATGTTGTATGGTCATGAGTATATCATATATATATATATTAACATACCAATAAGAACAACCGATCTTTAGAGATAAATTGGATGCAAGCAAAGAAATATGAAAAATATTTTATTACAAAATCACTTATACTTATTCATATTGTTGAGTATCGAAAGGATATATATAAACTAACACGGTAATTTTATAGTAGAGAAGAAAGAAGGAAAATTAATCAACTCAATATGTTTTACTACTTAAAGTACACTTTAGGACCTTCAAGCTAACATAAAAGAAAAAGAAAGGAAAGAAACCTAATCATGACAAGAACATACAAACATCGTAAAATGCTAAAATTTATCAATTATGTAAATCAATCAATTATTGTTTTATATAAAATATTTCTCAAGAGATACAATAAGAATAAAAATTTATGACAAGTTAATTTCTACATATTTTACCTATGTGCAATTGAATTATCATTTTCATCGCATTGATTTGAATTTTGACGATTCTCATTGTGAGATACACATGTTGAACTTTGACGTCTTGACGGTGTTGTTAAATCAGATGATTGAATAATCGATTGAGATAATTCATTTGCTGATATAGTTGTTCGTCGTCTATGTCGCATGACTTGAAAAGATCTCATCCTTACTTTGTATTACTCTAAAACAAACGAAAACTATATGAAATAAAATTTAAAATCAATAAAAAAAAAAAATTATCTACGAAACACTAGTAAAAGTATATTCTCATACCAATAAATAGATGAAAAAAAAAGAAAAAGAACAATCAATTAACAAAGGTCTTTTTTGTTTTGTTTTGTTTTTATATTTAACTAAGAAATATTGGATTCCGTTCATATCTAGTCACTACGAAGTATTGTCATGCTCTTAGACTTAATTATAAAAAATGAATATAAAACGAGCCTTCTGATGACTGACAACCCAGACTCATTCTTCTTCTCGCCTTTGCGATCGGTTTTTTTT